CTACTACTACTACTACTACTACTACCACTACCACTACCACTACTACTACTACTTCTGCTACTACTACTACTACTACTACTACTACCACTACTACTACTACTACTACTACTACTACTACTACTAGTATTACTACTGCTACTCGCTATACCCATCCCGAGCATTATGTAAAACCCCAAGCTGCCGGAAGCCGGGGAAAGGGTCCTTGCGGTCCGAACTGTTTCGAAGCTCCGGTCTGCTTCCTCGACCGACGATGGTGCTTTGGGCGTTTCCCTTGTTGAGCCTTCTAGGGTTCTTTTATTATTGGACTTTCCTGTTTTTTTAATGAATATTTTGGAATTCTGTATGCGGCTTCACCAGCTCTTGTAAGGATTTTTGGTGCCGTTGGTGGCAAGGGTTGAGGAGTGTTGGGATTGCCAGTGGGATTGCAGGATCACGAGGGCATGGCCACCAAGACTCATCCTAAGGAAACCCAAAACCCTAAGCCCTGGTAGGAACCCAAACGGGTTGCCTTACTGCGGACTTCAGCAATGCTACGAGCCTGAAAGATCGGGCCACGAAACCCAGTAAACCCACGTCCATGGCAAAGTCAAGCGAAAGAAACCTTGCCGTTACAGCAGCCTGTATCTATGATAGCAACCCTTATGGTAAACTTTGTAGTATCCCTTCTTTATTATAGCAACACTTCTGGTAACCCTTATTCATTCTAGGAACCCTTGCAGTAACCCTTTATGGCAATGCTTATAGTAGCCCTTATACACAATCTTGCAACTCTGGCACAAACCCCCACAGTAACCCGGGTAGTTCCCTACAAAAAGCTGCCCGCCTCCACGCGCTTCCGAGCCCTCTGCGCCTCGGGGGAATCCCCAACAAAACGAGGCCTAGAGGAGCCTGGAAACTTGGACGAGTCTCAGGTTTCGAGTGCAGGTTTTAGGGTTGGTAGCTGGGGCTTATAAATTGCTTGGCAGCAATTTGTCAACGAACATGAAAAACCCACCCGCCCAAAGAATCCNNGAATCCCATAACATTGAGAAAATACAGAGTTTTCAAGTTTCTCACTCAAGAGTGAGACACTAACTACGACGGAAACATGTCACATGCCAACATCTTCATCCTAACACAATTATGCATGTAGTCATCGCGACATACTCGCGTGGTCGATATCTGAAACGCCCTAAATGCTAACGTCTAGGCCCAAAGTAGGCGTAAACCCGAAAGACGAGCCCAGCAGGCCCTGAACCCTGGCAGCCTGTACATGCTGAACAGTTCGTGGGCAGGGCACAAGATCTTTGAAAACGCGCCTTGCCCACGAAGTGTTTCGGGTTTAGAAACATTGGGTAAGAGAGGTTCAGGTTTTAGGGTTTGGTAAGGTTTAAGCTTTGGGTTTGTGGCTTACCCCTTTCCCCTTTGCAGAACCCTTTTGCTTCCTGGAATTGAATCTAAGTCAGTTCAGGTGACGGGCTTAACACAAGGTCTCCAATCCACAAAGCCTCAAAGCCCTCTAGTTTGAGGTGCTGCATGAGAGGGCTATTTGGAAATCTACATGCATGTAATCAGCAAGCTGGTAACAAGCTAGGGTTCGTTTGTGCATCAAGCAGACACACCGGGTTTCTATCCCCAATTGACCACAATCGGGCAGCATGCCCTCTGCTCTCCCCCTGCTGCAACTCAGACTGACGATCTTCTCAACGATGAGTCTCCTAACCGAAAGCCCCATAAGCCGTGACAGCCCAAACCGCCCCTTGGCTTCACCAACTCCTGCCCTGCCTCGCGCTCCGCATGAAGTGCCTCCTGGTCAATGGCCTCCAGTTGAGCAATGGCCTGCACTGCAGGCGGCTCAAGTCTCTTACTCCCCTTCCTTTGGAGTTAGAGTTCCTTTCGCAGCATCCTGAGTTAAACAACGCTGGGCGCTGCATGGCCTTACCTTGCGGCTTTACTGTGGACACAAGACGCGACCAAAAAAAAACATCTTCGGGTAGAAGAGACCGCGACCCACACCTCACGCCGAGTCTGCTCAACCACTGCCAGTAAGCAGAGGAGGGCACCTTTCAAAGCCCAGAAGGCACCCCCCCCCCCCCACACCTTCAAGTTGGGCTTCAGCTGCTCCAGGTCCACTGCCAAACCTCAGCCGTCCGGACCCCTCGAAGCAACGGCAAGCATAGTAATGACGACTACTCATGACAATGATGACAATAGTTCTATATTCATAGTCAATAGTCTTGTTAGTGATGATTGAACGGAGTCCCTGCGGCTCCATGAAGACAGTGCTACCCTGGAGTAGCAACGGCCACATCGGCAAACAGGCCACCCCAAGCTTGCAGCCTTTGCACACATAAGAAAGCCCCTAAAGACTGCCAATCAAACCACGATCCAAAAACAAGCACTCCGAAGCACATCCCCGGACCAGCCTAAAGGCAGCCCAAAGTTGAAAACACTTGACTCTCATTGTAAGCCAAACCAAAAGACACCCTATAACCTATATATCCTGCACCCGATTAAGGGAGGCTCCAACGCTGGGCGACCCCACGCCGGAGCTCTGCGCGGTACTCGTCCTCCAGCAGGTTTGTCGCCGGGCCTTCGAAAGGAAGGCAGGAAAGACGATTTGAGCCTAACGATTTGGAGTTGAAGTGTCAGTGCTTCGGGTATTTTGGGGCGATGGCACGGCGATGTCTTGGGTGGGAGGGCTCGGGGCACGAGTGTGGTCTCCAACGGATCCAAAAGCTGACTAGCCATGCCGAACCGGATGACTTGTTTGAAGCGGGTTTGTTCAGACAGATTGAATCAGAAACTGAGGCCCAGTCTACAAAAAGACTCGTCGCAGAAATTGGCTCCACGCTACGACCACTACGAGTTGGCGGTACCAGCGACAATTTCAGCATCTTGATTTCTTGTGCGAACTGCACAGAAAGATGCCCTGATGGCCAATGTCAACAGCACTTGCTGGTTGTTGTTCAGCCGCTCTAGATTATAGCGTGGCTTTCCATGTCAACGAGAACATCAAACACTAAGGACTATCAATCGAACGCAGGATCGAATGCAAATACAAGCAACCCTCTAGAGACTCAGGCCTCCAGTCGCCGCCTTTCGCTTGGCCTGTCCACGGAACCGGGTGACCCAAAATCCTCAAGAAGCCCAAACGTCAATGTTGTGATGAGATCTTGAGGCTGAGCATGTTTGTGGTCCACCCTGAGCATGTTTCGCGTCCACTAATGCTAGCTGCTAGCCAGGTCTCCACCACTTGAGCTCAAAAGGACGGAGGTTGCATGTAATCCCCAAGCATGCAGCGGTTTACCTCGCGACCTTGCACGAGACAACCCAAGGAGTAGGGAAGATAGCTGCGACCACAAGGCATCATGTTATTCGTCGTGCGTGCCATGACCATGCGAGTGTGGCGAACACTGCTGGGGGAGTAGGGAGGCTAAGTTCTGCTGCTGTTCGTATCTGACCTTGCCAGAGTAGTGGGCATGTTTGAAGGGGTGGGACGACTAGTATCCCGGTAAGGTCACCAGCACTTCTGAATGACGTCTACCCTTCTCGTCCGAATAACCTCTAAGATCAGAAGTGGTTGCTCCGTCATGCTCCGTCCACAGGCCGTCATCACCATCGCCTGTTGTGTTCGGTAACAACAACATCATCATCAGCAGCAGCAGCAGCAGCCTCGCAGCAGGAGTGAGAGCAGCAAGAACTAAGAATATCTCCAAGGGCCCTACACTACCTCCTTCGTACCTACTTCGCCACTGTCCTGCGGGGACATCTTTGGAAGTCCGAGGTCCAACTTGCTGAAGGCCTGTGGCAGCTTGCTGAAGTCGACACGCAGCTCCGCGGCAGCCGCCGGAGAAGACCTGCTGAGGGAGGCTCAGGGCTTGCAGAGGATCTTTGCGTTCGAGGATTTAGCAGGAACTTCAAGGGGAGTTGAAGGTCGTTTGCAGGCTTTGGAAACGGACTCTGCGCCTTGCAGCTGGGGCTTCAAGATGGTTTTATAACGAAGCTTCATGCGCGCGCAGAGAGCCCAAAAAATGGACCACATACCATTTGTGCGACACCAACCCTGCACCACGAACCCCAGATCGTAGACTCCCAAACCTAAAGTCATTGAAGAACATCAACTTGAAGGCCCCTCAAACCCTCAAGGTGCCCTGGCTCCCAATCTAAAGCTCTAAGACTCTAAGCCTCAAACCCTAAATCCCAATCGCCACTTTCCCAGGTCGAGTGGCGCGTCCAAGTCCGCAACCAAGGCCTGGGAAATGGCTTTGGGTTGCGTACTCGGAAGCACTTCTTGTGGGAGGGGCTGAGTGCCGACCCTCATGTTCGTGCACCTTTTTGGGAAGATGAACACTGCCAGAAGTGTACACCGCTCCAACGCCCCCAACGCTTTCCTGGACTTCGAAATGAAGACTTTGCATGACTCAGCTGAGCCGAGCCGCAGAAAGCCTCTTCGCGGCATTCTTCGCCTCCCTGGGCGGGCCTCCGAATGGCAGGGCGATGTCCTGAGCTCGAGTCGGCTTCTGGGGCTTGGCTCGAAAGAAACTGCCCGAGCCGAGGCTCCTCCAGCACACTTTTCCGCAGGAGCTCGAACCGCGCCTCTCGCGCGCGCGCGTTTCTCAAAGAGCGGTCCGCGTGTCCTAGCGCCTGACAGCCTGACGTCTTAGGGAAATCCTTGATCTACTCCGCTTCGAAAGGACTTGGAAAGTGATTACCGAGCCCGGCCTCGTGCGCCACCGCCAGCTCCGCCGACAGGGTGGCGAGCTGCCTCTCCGCCTGGAGAGTTGGACAAAAGATGGCTCCAGGCAGAGGCCCTTGTGCCATCTTTCAGGTTCAAACTCGACAGTGGAGGCATGTTGCCTGAGTGGCTGCCCTCTCTTTGTCCTTGAGCTCCATGCGCAGCCTCGAACAGGCCTGCAGCAACAGCAAATTTGGAGCAGCTCGGACAGGGGCATCAGCTTGAACTTACCCTGCTGAAGGTTTGGCAACAGCCGACTGCCCCAGACGAATCGCGTGCCCTGTCTTCAGCCCAGCCTGCTCTTGATTCCTCTCGAGCTCACGTTTCTGTTGCAGGGCCTGGGCTGAGCGACTTGAAGCGGTGCATACCTCCTGCAACCCACCGAAAGCCCGCGGACCCAAAACCTTGGATCCGATTCGGCGGGTCAAGGGCCCAGCTGCAGCGTGCTCCTCGACCACTTTGCTTCGGCCCTTGCGTGCAGAGCGCAGCATGGATCTGAGATGCACTCGGCTTTGGGTCACAAGCTCTTTATGCGGTAATGGCACTCGTTCCAGCACGGCAAGCTTCCAAAACCGCAACCGCAACTACCATCGAGGACAAGCTCTCCGCCGTGAAACCCTGTAGAAACCAACTGTGTAAGAGCCGCCTCTCGCCGCTTCTCGATCTCCTCAGCTCGCTTTCGAAGGATTTGGAGCTCCACCTTCGAGCCGAGAGGTGGTTCCAACATGCTGCGGCCCTTGCTGGGTTCTTGATATTTAAGTTACCAGAATAAGGATCTATAATAAATAAAATGGCTACCTTTTTTCAAGGGAACCTTCACTTAAATTCCTTAATTAGACTCCACGGTACTTCAGGTGTCAACCGTTATTCAGGTTTTCTCTGAAGGTTTGGGGAGTTTAGGGGCTCATTCGGCTCTTGGCCATGACATGTCTGGGGTAGCGGGTGTCCCGCCGGCGCTTTTTCAGAGCATCCTCCTCAAACAGCGCAGGGCCCGGGTGCTCACGCAACGGAATCCACAGGTTACTGTTTGAGTTCTGCTGGAGGCTCTTCTCTGAAGTCTAGAGCTCTTGTCCGTCAGGAGCTCCTGTCTGTGCAGATTTCGGCAAAAGTTTAGGGCTACTCGCCACATTCACCGAGCGATTGGCTGCCAACCTCAACTAGACACTCTCCTGCACCAAGCCTGAACAAAGGCCTGAACTCGCGTCCAATAAGCCCTGCGTGGCCTCGCACTCCCGGGCTCGCTGGGGCACGCCCTGGACACGGCGGCCCTGGAAGGCCAAAGCATTGCTCCGGGTCTCTTCGGTCAGAAACCTGAAAACCTCGAACACCCCCACGCTGAGACGGTAAGCATGGGCTTGGTGCATCCACCGGAGTTCAAAGCCACACCCTTAACCGGAGCCCTCGGCCCACATCCTGGTTTCACAGTCAAACAGAAGCACGAGGCACACCCAAAGTGACGTTTGAATCCCAAGACGAAGACGGAGACTGAGACGACCCGTCCTCCAGCGCCCACTCGATCATGGTGAGCTCGGCCTGTTTGCAGCTTAGGCTGCGGCAGAACCATAACCGTAACAGCATATCCCCAGGCTTCCGGATTCGACATGTGCGACTGGGCTGCCATTCGAGGCTCATGATTATCAGGAGATGCTCACCGTCGACTGGCAATGAGAGGCACTTCAACTGGCGCCTTGAAGGATTGAGACTGCTGGGACAGCGCGCTTTCGCGATACTGCGCCGCCTTTGTAGGGCAGAGGCCGGCCAGGCTGCGTTCAGTAATGGTTTGAGCTTAGGGTTGGCTTTGAAGCTCGAACAGTCAATCTTTCTTCCCAGCATTCTTCCCTTGCTGCTACCTCTGAGCCAAAGCCACCAAACTCTCAAGCACTGACCCTTTGACACCTGAAAGCTTATGTCCTGACGCGCGAAAGTCTGCACAGCCTCCCGGTTCAAGCGCGCATCGCGCTCCAGCCGGCGCACCTGGTCGGAGATCTCTAGAAGAGGAGCTGCGACGCATTTTGGGGTTGTAATGCAGGCCTAGGCCGTGCAGGGGACTCCTGAACACGAAGCCAAATCAGGAACACACGTGCTGCAACACCAGTACCGGGTTTGCGCACCACGGTGAAACGGCGAAATCCAAAACTTCAACATTCCCCAGATACTAGTTGAAAGCCACTTTCGACAAGGATGGTCAGCTGAGCTCAGGTCATCATCCACGTTCAGCGCCGCCGAAAGTGCGGCAAAACGATCCGACACCGCGGCACCTTGTGCTTTGGGTCTCAGGGCATCGGGCGCCACGCCATGTACAATGTTGATGCGGCAGTACAACCACTAGGCTCTTGGTGCGGTCGCTTCTCATGACTTGATTACACACATACCGCCATAAACCATCATTAAAGACGAAACCAAGAACTTCACGGCTTTGGGACTCACCAGCAGTCACAGGGCTTGGGGGCCCAGAGGGCGCCGCCGCTGATGCCCGTAAAAATCTCGTAAGACTGCCCATGCATGCCACAGAAACAGCCGCTGCTGCTACCCCTGTACATTGGGATCGCCGTGTTCATGCCTGCAAGCTTTGGGAGTTTGGTAGGCAACCTCACCACCACTCACGTGCTCGGCCCGGGACAGATCTTGGGGCTGCTGCGGGATTAACAAGGTTGACAGGAGCTCTTGGATTTAGGTTTAAAAATATTTATGATTTGCGCCTAACGGCCTAGCTCCTTAAATCCACACGCTCATACACGCTCGTTTCTACAGATTGCTGCCGTAGTCACGTGAGACTTCCAACCATCTTTGACATGCGCAGCCATTGGATTTTCTGCGGGCACGTAATCGACGTAGTCGGCGGAAATGCGGAGTCTCTGCGGCCAGACTCTTTGAAGCCGGCCTTTTCATAGCATTTCCTCGCCGCCGCAGCGCTTCCAAGACCTTTACCGTGAAGCTTGTGATGCCTTTGTTCATCGCAACGTTGGCCTCCGCCGCTTCCAGCAGCAATCCTCCCAAACCTCTTCCCACGTGCGCACGGTCAACCTTACACTGACCGATTGACAAATTTGCTTGGAACAAAATTGAAAGCTGCATAAACACAGCTTTCGATGGTCCTTTTGTCTTTGGAAACGGCTGCTAAAGTGAAGGCAGAGGGATCCAAGCCGCTTGCCAGCCTGTCAATACCCTCCATCCGTGCTTGGCTAGCTTTTAAGGGCACGTTCACCTATTCTCCGTCAGCTTCGGGCTCTAAATCTTTGTACCACAGCAGACTTGCATGGAGGTGCGCATGGTCCCCTGCGAACTCTCTCTCCGACCGCCGAACACTGGCATGTTGGCAAACGACATAAAAATTCATTTTGAGCCAATATAGTGGCATTGTCCGCATCAATGAATGGCTCATCACCCTCATCTCCTTCTTCTCCTTCTGCAATCTCCCATCGCGCGAAGCGACTTCTGGTTACGGCACCCGGACAGACACAATCCGGCGAGGAAGATGCAGATCGCTTCCGCTTCAAGCTGGGAAGCTCTTCGGAGTGGTCGCGCAAAAGCCTTCGTGGGGTTTCATCCACATCGGACTTCGCATCAATGTGGCCCCGTGCGCTCTATAATCTCACAATGTCAGTATGTTTGCTTCGAGTTGCATAGAAAATTACAGTCTCGTTCCATTGATCCGTGAAGTTAACTTCAAGGCCATGGTTCAGAAGGAATTTCACCATTGTGATGTTGCCTCGTGCTGCTGCATAGAAAAGAGGGGTCTGTTTGTTGCTGTCGACGCCGTTGAGATCCACACCCCTGCGAACATTGTCTCGCCAGTGTCTCTGAGCTACGGCGAATTCGAGCAGTGATGAAAAATAAGAAGCGCCGCTTCAAAGGGCTGTATCGCCACGACATATCTGAGTTCACGAGAGCTGTCTTTTCCTCGTAAAACTGCCTTAAACAAAAGAGCGCGTCCCGTTCGCCGGGCCTCATGTCTGACACAACATCCTTCACGCCATTTTTCTTTCACGGGCATTCCCATCAAAGGCAAATGCATGCTCAGGTCAACGAAAGATTGAAATCGAGCCGAAGAGCTGACGCCCTCCTCCACAGTCACGAGTCGCTCGCGAAGCCGCTGCTCCTCCTGGCTCACTGCCATGCTACATGGTGAGCATCATCATGCCTACCACTTTTGTTACGACAGGTTACCATCGTTTCCTCTTACTAACTTCGCAAAGGTGTTGAGATTGAGCACGCATCCGGTTTGAGTGTTTCGCCTGCGTGCGTAACCTCACTGCACTGTTCTGTTGTGTGAAGGGGTCTTCATGGGAGGTCCCGTGATGTCCCGTGCACAGCGAGGTAGACCCGTAGACGATCCGACAAAAAGACTGGAGCTTGGGCCAGAAAACAACAAAAGGAATAAAGTAAGGAAGCGAGGAAGGAATGAAAGGGCCCGAGTCTAAAGCGAGAGATGTGCAAAACCAAATCAAGCCCAGCGAGCCCTTCTGAACTCTAGCCCTTCAACCCCAACACCCTATCGCCCATGACCCTAAACCTGACACCCGAAACCTGGCTTGACAACCGAAGCCTTAAACCCTCAACACACAGCAATCTTACATCTTAAACCCGCCAACCCAAGAACTCTCGACCTTTCAATCCTGAACCATCGACCCGCCTTTCTTTCTTGAACTGGTCCTAGACATTCCCAAACACCCCAAACTCGCACTATGCCTATCGAACCCCTAAGCCCTAAGACGTTCTCAGCCGATCTAGAACATATTTTAACACAGTAAATTATAATTTGCTGCGCCATACTGTACCACATTAGGCTGCAATATACTGAATATTATTGTTCTTCTGCAAAAAGAAAAACACTAAGTCATAACTCAACAATACTACTACTAATGATGATGATGAAAACAATAATGGTAACAAAATAATAGTAACTGTCATAACAGTAATGATGAAAAGGAAAAATAATCATAATAACACTAATCATAACAGTAGCCATCATCATAATAGCTACTATGATTAGTATTATTGTGATAACAATAACAGTAATTATCAATAACAATAATGACAAAAAGAAGAAGAATATAATACAGTACAATATACTGTAATAGTAGTAACTGTAGCACTAATAGTAAGATTCATATATTTCCCGAACGGGATTCGAACTCCGGCCTCGGACAGCGCTTCAGCGGTGGGCAGCCGCTCTGCTGCCGCGACGGACTCGGCCAGCTCCTGTTGGGTTTTAGGGTTTGGTGTTTAGGGTTCGGGGTTTCGGGTTTGGGGTTGTAGGGTTTGGTGTTTTAGGGTTCGGGGTTTCGGGTTTGGGGTTTCGGGTTTGGTGGGTTTAGAGTTTAGGGTTTCGGGCCTGGGGCGCAGGGGATGTGGCTTAGAGATTTTGTGACGATTTCCACTGAGCGGTTTGTAGAAGGATTTCAAGCCAGTACCTGCATTAACGACAAAGGGCTGTACAAAGTTCGAGCGGCTCAGCTACGATGTAAAGACTTACGGAGTTTATCAGCTTCTCGGCAACAAATCCCTCAACCCTATACCCTGGCCCTACAGTAGCCTTTAAAAAAAAGCAATTCTGCTTGGTCCTGCTGCCGGGCTTGGACCTCGACCTCGAACTCCCGCAAGCAGAGCCTGGGCAGACGAGTTCCATGACCGGTGCTGACGAGTATGTAAGTTCGATCATGATATGATACATTATACCGCAATATTTCCGTAATATGTTGAACATACAGGTACATATAGATCTAAGAATCTAAGGAGTGCCTGAGCATCTTGTAGATCACGGCATTCTCGTGTCAAAGCCCAAGTGCAGGTCCCAACCGTGGATTTCTGCTCAGGGCGGATCTCCCGCCCTTCAAGGTACCCTACAAGTAGAGCCCACGCTTGAAAGCAAGCTTCTGGTTTGGATTTTGGGTTTCAGGTTTACCACTAAGTTCGCATACTACTCTTCTTACGGCCAGCTTTAGGCTGCTACTGCTCTGTAAGATGAAAGTCATCATTCCTACCAGCAGCCCGTTGAAACCATTTGAGTATGTGCGACTCTCACGAATGCTCATGTTCTGGTTGATCTTACTGCTGTGTTCGAAACACCCGACTCGGTTCTTGCTGACCCTCGTATGCAACCTCTCCTTGAAGTACAAGGGTTCAATTTACAACCTTGCAGTTTGCGTAAGTGGAGGGGTCGTGTTTGGAAATGCTGCTCTTAGCTGCAGCTCAACATGCACCGTGCACCGGAAACCGAAATTCTGATTCTCCCGGCTTCAGGGCACGATGTCGAAAGGACTCACGAAGACAGGACCAACTGGGGTTGAGGATCTTAGATTTGCGCATGAGTGCTCAGGGGCTCTGCGATGACTTCATGGCTCTTATCAACACTGGAACGGCAAATCTCTGAGCGCAACACTGATTGTGGTTCTCCTTCGCCTCGAACCGTCGAGCTTCCTCCTGAGCAGCCACCAAACCCCAAACTACAGAAACCCTACAACCAGAATCCTGAACCTTAAAAAGCGCATCCGTCGCGGGAATCGGGACTGCAAAGAACCGGATGACACGGAGAGAGGCAAAAAACGGGCGTCTAGATTCTGAACGAAACCCGCCCCTGTAGCAGCTCTCAGAAAAGGACAAGGGGGACCAGGAAGCTGCTGGAAGATGTGCCACGAGCGGTAGCCATGAAGAAGCACAAGATCCGAAACCCCAAACCCTTGATAGTACCTTTTTATGGAACCCTTATAGTATATACTGTAAACAGAATACTCAACCATACGCAACCCCAAGACCAGGCGGTGCCTCCACAGCCGCCTTCGCTGCCTCCGCCTGTGCTACTCCGGAGCTGAGCTCGGTGAGCTGCGTCTGCAGGACCTGGGAGCGGAGCGTCCCAGGGGGTTTTTAGGGCTCTCGGGGTCTCAGGATTCGGGTGTCGGATCTTTGGGTGGCGCAGTCTTCGGCATCTTAAGGCTTCAGGGTTTCGCGTTTGATTGAGGGTTCTAGGGTAGCGCTTAGGGTTTTACGGTAGGGTTCGGGTTTGAATTGAACACACAGGCTTTAGGCGCTGTTCTGGGATCGGGATCCTTGTGCCATCGGGTTTCAAGACCCGTAGAGCTTCAACAAGCCGAGACAGCCGAAGAACCCTGTCAAGTCACAATGCTCTCTAGATGATACAGTATATAAGACATGTACAAATATATGCATGCATATGTATACAGTTTTCTTCTGTAGAGCAGTGTACAGGAAGATGCGTAGTAATACAAATGCTGTAACCGTCTTCGCTATGCACTGTCGAATTTTAACTGAGCTTTCGGACCTGCAGGCGGCCGCGGGTGGCCTCGAGGGCGCTGAAGTCGAAGCGCGTGGCGCCTGCTTTGGCTCATTGGAGGGACGCTTTGGGTGGGGTGCGTTTAAGGGGCTTACACTGAAAATTGAAGGGTTGTAAGCTTTGATGGGTTTTAGGCTTTTCATGGCTTTTGTGCGTATTGCATCCGCCGGCATGTCTGAGACCACAATTCAAAAACGAAACCGCGGAACCCTGACGGCATTTCTGCGCCTGGTTGTGCACCCTCGGCTTTGACCTCGGAACAGGCGATCGTCGAAGCCCCGCAAACGGCGCGACGAGGAGACCATGACTCAGGAGCACGACGACAACGACACGGCAAGAACTACGCAAACGTGGTCAAGATCCTCGGAGCTCCTGTTGCAAAATGCCACAGAAGCATCAAACCCAAGCATGCTCTGGGTCTCTTGCAGCAAGGTTCCCGTCCCGAGAGATCACCTCCCCGCTGAGCGTCACCACCCTGGAGCCAAGGTGCTGGAGGCTCCGTGATGCTCGCTGCAGGTTTAGTGTCGGGATGTGTGGGGCATTCGTCGATAGATTGGAGTTTAAGTTTAAGGAAGAATCACGAGCATGCTGCTCCCAGACGGGTCCTGCACTTCAGGCCCAACTCCTTCAGAACGCCGAAGACCTGGAGAGCGATAGAGCACAGAGCGGCTCTCACTTGCAAAAGAGAGAAGTCATTCTCAAGCACGCCGGCTGCGCAAACTCTCGGCCGTCATCCAAGGAATCGGCAATCACGACATCCTGACAGAAGCAAGTTCTGGGCCTGCGCTGGCCGTCCTCTTCCAACGTCCAATCCAAGGTGCTCCAGCCCCAAAACAGTCCACCAAGCCCAACTTCAAATGTCCTAAACTACTTCTCCTGCTCGATACCGACACCTTTACTGCAACTTGGGAGCAACAGAAAATGAGCTGACACGCAGCAGCATTTTCCCATCCCCCTCCCCCGCGCCGACAGGAGGAAGTCGAAAGCCCGACTCAACGAGGACTCGAAGGAGATGCAACTGAGAGCCTTAGTCAAAGGGCAAGGCTGCTGATGGTTTCGAATCAGCCATGCTAGGACTGACAGCTGAGCACGCTAGCCGCTAGCCAGGTGGACAGATGGATTCAGTTCGTGAGATCGGGGTGTTGGTTGCGGCTGGGAAGCACGACCTCTAAAAGACGACAGACCGTGCTTGATTGAGAACACACATCAACACCCTGACACCTACTTGTAGGAAGCCAAACACTGAGACCTTGGCCGGACGCAGCTTCATGCGGCCTTGCAGGGCCTGTATCTCGACTCACCGTACAGCTTTCGAAGTCAAGAACCCACCCGATGACTCCCTGTGGACGGACTGTTTCCCGGCTGAATGATAGTATCTCGCAGTGCAAGCTGGCAGGTGGAAGCCCGATTTCAGGCGGCGGAGAACGCCCAAACTTGCATCTGCAGCTGCCTCGTGGAGCCGTCGGTCCATGACCATGCTCTTCAGGTTGTCCAGGGGCAGGAAAGTCAGCGGTGCCATCATCCCATCCTAGCCGCCATTCTTCCCAATGAGGTTGAATGGAAAAGCCCAGGCACCTAACCACAGTGCTAAGGGGCACCGAAAGCCGTCGCGAACGATCCCTGGGCCTTGAGGTGTTGCACGCAGGAGCGAGCCCCGTCCACCGTCTGCGTGACGACTGCGTCCAGGTGGCCGTTCAGCCTAAGAAGCGCTTAAGCAGACGAGGCTGGCTCGAAGCGTCGACAGCTGCAGGCCGCCTCTCTCTGGCACACAGGGACTACTGCGTTGGGGGCAACCCGGATCCCTCACACAGGGAGCCATGAACCTTCCCCAGAATCCGAGTGTGTGGGTACATGTGAATGCGACACCTACAAATCCCAGCCGCAAGGTCTTCTGAACAGCATCTCCCTGCTTTGGAGCACGTCTGGGCACCAGGCGCTACATTAACCGCCACACGGAACCGTTTCTGAACCGGGTTGCAGAGCTTCACGACCTGAGCAGTGCATGGCACCTAAAGCCTTGACTGGACAAAGGAAGGTAGCGGTCAGGGAGATGAGATGGTCAACCGGACACTCCAAGTTAGAGCTAACGTCGCTCTCTGAACCATGAGCCCTATACAGCACAGAGCGTAGTAAGGAAGAACATGCCAAATCCTGGGCCCCAAATTTTCCTTGGCCCATGGCTCGGCCGAAGACACCAGGCACGGCGTGTGACAGGTCCGTGCACACCCGGGTCAATCTGGGCTGAAGGCCACGAGTTCATCTGATTTTTGGGGAGTTCCAGGGTCAGCCCAGAACTTCGAAGCGGCGCACCTCCTCTCCATTTCGATCTGACGTTCCGTCGCAGTGATGTCTTGAATCTCCTCGCCACACGAAAGTGAAAGTACAGCAACCAGGCGAGGGGTTGAGCTCGGCGATTGCTCGGCCCTGCAAGGCTCCTCCAAGATCTGGCGCCGCTCGGATTCAAGCTGCAGCCTGCTCTCTCCTTCAGCGCAGGAACTCTCGGGCCGGGCCCCAAACTTACAACCTCTCTTCGAGGCAGGGCCTAGGCCGCCTCCGGGGCGCTGAGAGCAAACGCAGCACACTCCTAGCACCCTTGGGGCCAAGGGATGTGCGGGGCTCTTAGCTTGGCCTCGCACGCGAATCTCTCTCTCTCTCTCTCGCTCTCTCTCTCTCTCTCTCTCTCTCTCTCTCTCTCTCTCGCTCCATCGATACGATCTGAGAACCCTGATCTCTATGTGACAGCCGAGGCTGCGTCGGAGGGCTTGGCATTTTGCGGCGAGTTCCTCGGGGCTGCTCGAAGGCCCGCGTGCACAGAGTGACGGCTTAGCACTGCAGACCTCAAGGCACGGACCCTGCCTGCACTTCTCCCTTCTTCTGGGCAGCTTCTGCTGCAGAACTTTCGTGCCTGAGGCGCTAAAGGGCTGTGCCGAAAAGCGGAAGGTGCAGCTGCTTCCTGCAAAAGCTGAGGTACCAAAGCTGGCCGACCATCCCAATGCAAAGAGGCAGAGACTGCAAGCAACACAAGACACGAGCCAATCGAGCTTGAGCCCTGAACTTCGAGCCCGCTCTCAATTGGAAGGATGTGCCACAACAGAAAGCCTCAACCTTTGGGAAGATCCCCTCTCAACTTCCTGGCCCCAAACAACCTCAGGCCCCAAACTCTCAACTGCAAGACCGTGATCCCTAAACCCCCAAACCCTCACCAAAGCCCTGCAGGAGCCCCGTATCCCCCGAACGTTGCCGGGCTCCCAGGCAAGGCTCGAGCGGACTGCGCCGACGCCCTGAGATCCTCCACCTGAGCTTCGGTAGCAAGACGGGTGACAGAAAAACAGCAATGACAAGGATAGCAATCACCAGAAGAACAATCGGACGAAACCGAGTCTTGAGAACACCCTCAAGAAGAAAAGCAAGCGGAGCAAGGAGAAGAAGAAGAAGCGCAGCATCAGCAACGGTGGCAGCAGCAGCAGTGGTAAGGCAATGGTTGCGGAAATGATTTCAATGGATCTCAATGACATCAGTCCTGGTGGTACTGATGCCATAGTAATACTATCATCGTCATCATCACCCTCATCACCGTCACTACTGTGCCATGCCAATCGGAAGGGGTTCCGGGATTGGGATTGTCATGCTTGGACCCTTCACTGGGCAATCTGGACAAGGCGGCGGATTCCCCAAAGCCGACCTAAACGCATACGCTTCAGTCCTTGCTCGTCTAAACCCGCGGCTTCTGCCAGTGCTCCATGTACGCCAATCCCAAGCAACGTGAACCCTAAACCCTTGAAGCTTGAAACCCACGGCCTTTTGCTGCAGGCTCTCGGCGCGCTGCGCGGCCTTGCCCAAACAGCTCCAAGAAACGGTACAAAGCAGACTGGAGACCATGCGCACAAGGCGCTGTAGCACTAGGAACCATACTGCTGTCGGTGTGAAGGGATGTCAGTGGCTGCGAAATGCACTTTTGCCATCTTTTGCCCATACTAGCTTTCGCGCCCTCTTTGGATTTGGATATCTTCAGTTGTGTGGCGGGCCACAGGTCTAGACAGTCATGTTCAGCTCACTAGCTAGCTAGCTATTCCCCTATCCATCATCTACGTAGGTGTTTGCAGATGCGTCGGTCTCTGCTGTCGCTCTGTGCATGGCCGTGGCCTCCCTTCGGCCCCTGTCCGCCGCTGCACGGCGCTTGGCCAAAGCTCGGAGCTCGACTTCGAGCTCCCGGGCCTTTCGAAGTCGTCGCGGGCTTAGGGCTACAAGTCTCGAGCTTTATGGTTTGAAGAGCATGGCTTCTCGTGACATTTTGTCTTGAAGACCTGGCGGAGTTCTCTGGTGTTTCAGGGCCTTCCGACAGGTTGGATAGGGAAGCGGTAGGATTTTTTGGGCGAAAACCACGAAATCGCCATGCCTGCGGCGAACCCCTACACCGGCGAATCACCGAGCTCAACATCCTAAAGCCAAACCTTCGCACTGTACTCCGCCCAAACCAGCCTCCTGGCTACTCGCTGACGTCAAGCGCTCGGTTTCCTCCTGGTTACGTGTTTTTTCGGCGCCAAGACAAGGCCTGAACCCGAAGAAAACTGCTCGAACCTCCCCAGCCTTCCTCAGCCCATATCGGTTCAATGAGATCTTCAGAGATGTACAGAGTACAGAGTTCGGCCCTGAAGCCTCCACACACCAAGACTGCTCCAAACCTGTGACGAAACTTCCTTGACTCCAAAGCCTCGAAACGCTCAGCGAATCTACTGGGTAGATTGGTTTGCATAGGCTTGCATAGACGGATGGAGATTCAGATGTCCGAGCAGATGCGGAAACACCACACACGCACGAACACAAATGAGAAAAAGCAGCTGAATGCGAATGCAGCACAAACTGTCCTACAACATGATTTAATACCTCCCACAGTGCTGTTTCTGCTCGACTATGCTGTTCAGGGCTTTGCGCGGTCTAACGGACAGAGAGACAGACCAGCACGCATACATGCATACATACACTTTTCCTGTCATGCTTGAAAGGCAGCCTCAAAGCCAGAAAGCCTGAACACCCCAAACCCCGTGACATGCCTCAAACCCCAAACCCCGAACGAAGAAGGGCGCAAAAGTACCCTGAACCCTAAAGCCAACCCCTACACTACCCCTTCCAGCACCCTTGAAAAGGCGCCCGAGTTACCACTCCCACTTTGTTTGCAGCTCCTGAGCTTGCCGGAACTGTTCCATCTGCTCAGGGCTCAGAGGCAGCTCTTTCCTGTCATCTTAGGGTTTAGGTGCATTGGGGTTAGGGTTGAGGACGGTTTAGGATTTAAGATTTAGAATTCGGATTTAAGCTTTACGGTTCAGGGTTTGGGGTTTAGGGTTTAAAGGAATCACAGCTGTGCAACAAACTGCGACGGTGATCTTTGCAGCCTTTGCGGCCTGCGCGGTGCCCGCTGCCAAGCAAAAGCCGCCGAACCCTGCGGAGCCTTGCTTCCTGGCGAACCTGCTCCAGCTCTGCCTGAAGCATTGAGGCTTCCGTGCACAGGGCTCGCCTCCATCAAGCCTCAATTCTAACCAGGAAGCCTGAACGAATCTCATCTTAAAGTAGATTGACGCACATGTTCACCATCCTTCCAGTAGAGAAAGAGATTACCACCTGCTACTGTGAAGCCAACTGGTCATATGAAGTAAAACCTACATATTCCAAGTGAGATCCGAGCAAGGACTTTATGGCCCAAGCGTCTCTGTAGCTTTCAATCTGCGAGTCCAAAGCTGATCTGCCAAAAGGCCCCTCAACGACCCTAGAATCCCTAGAAGCCATGTCAAAACTCTCAACCTCATTCTGCAAATACCCCGCCCTCCCGCAGCCACTTTGCGCCTCAAGGCCCTCGAGCTTCTTGCGCAACTCCGAAGCCTGGAAATTGAGGGTCCGGCAGCTAGGAATCACGGACTTGGGGCCCTAACGTACACCCTAAACCCGTTCAAAGTCTCCCTGCGCCTGGCCCTCCAAACGTATGCGGCGCTGGTCGTCCAGCTCGGCACGGCTGGAGAGTTCCTGGGGAAGCGGCGCAAAGTCATCAATGGGTAGTTCCCTAAAGTACGGTCCTTTTTTGCGACCCTGACAAGGACCCTAATTTAGACAACTAGTCAAATGCATTTTTCATGTCGCATGGTCCTTGCAATTGTCTCGATACCTAATTTCAGTCTTCTTTGCTAGTTCGACTCTGCATGCTTTTCATAACAAATATGATTCTGTGGCTGACAGCAGGCGTTGAACTGTAAAACCCGAGAACCACAAAAACCTTGACCCGGATGCTACACGGCTGCCTCGTGTCGCCGCTGGGCGGACTGAAGTTCGGCTTGCACCTGCTTCTCATCATCCGACTTTTTCTATTGCCATATTACAGCCATGACCCAAAAGCTGAATGGACAACAAGAGCGTTTCAGTTTTCTAGGGTGACCGATCCAGCATTCATGTTGATGGCAACCTGCACAAGGCTGGATCACATGAGTGCTCCGGCCGCGAAACCTCACAACACGGTCCTCCTCTTCAACCGCCCTATACGGCTGGTTCTCCTTCAAAACCTATAGTCTTTTGAATGACTGAATGCTTCTGGGATGGCTGTGCTCACGTCTATATGGGATGTAAGAGGTTGGCAGAAAACACCAGCACCATTCGCGTGCTCTCGGCCAAGACCACATCTTGGGGCGGGGTATATGCCCGAGAATCCGCACAAAGGAGTCTGAGCACGCGCTCCCTGCACGCTTGTTTCTGAAAATCGATGCCTCAATCAGGCGACACTTCCAACGGTCTTGGACATGCACAACCACATATTTTCGCCCACTGCTTGCCCACAGAAAATTTCGCGATGGCCACGCAGTCGGCGAAAATGCAAAATCACTGCGGTCATACTGCCATACCCCCTAAAACCAGCCCTTGCACAGCTTTTCTTTGCCGCATCCGTTTCCACAACAACAAGTTTTACTGTGAAGCTTGTGATGCTAAAGTGACCTCCGTTCCTCCAGCAGCAATCCTCCGAACCTCTTCCAGAAACCTCATGAACGAGGAGCGTTCTAAGCATGCAATACCCATCATGGTGCCGAATCGCCACCTTTTGGCCTCTTTCGATGATAACATGAGCTGCTTCTCGAATCCAGGCACCCAGGCTGAAAGGCACGGGACAGGAAGCGACGGCAGAGGAGCTCGTCATAAACGAGAGCACCATGTTTGGATGTGCTCGAATGCCAAAACATAACTGACAAGAGAAACAACAATCACCTTGACACGACAGAAACCAACAACAGCAACCGTGCCGCGCTGGCAGCAAGTAGCATGAGGAGACTGAACACCCCGACCCGCAAGCACTCCACAAGATCTCGAAACCCCGTCAATTTCGACCACTTCGACATCGACGCAAAACCAGAAGCGACACCCCCGGCCGCCCCCCACCTCTCCCCCCCCGCCCCATCCCCGCCCCTGGCCGGGCCCTGCCTGGCTTTGTTCAGGGCTCAGCTGCTCCAACTCCGAGCGCGCGGTGGCCAGGAGCCGCTCCTCAGGTCGCGTTGTAAGTGTGATTGAGACACGTACGGAGGTTCACGAAAGCAGAAACCCAGAAGTGATAGTTTAGGGCCTAGGGTTTGTCCACCTCCCAATGCACAGCGCCAGCATCATTCTATTTCCTCGCTTTGTAAACTGGTACTTTCCAGGTTGCGCGCTTGAGCACCGAATTCTTTCTGTGCTCAGTAGAGCATCGTGTGTAGACAACTAAAGGCAAAATAAGGCAAAACACACAGCATGCTTTGTACATGTCTGTACATTGAAGGATGTTGGAGGTGACTGCCCAATCGACATCACGCAAGCAACACCTGTACATGCAGGACACAGCCGTTCACGCACCAAGCAACTCCACTCCAAAACCTCACACCACCATGGTCATTGTCCGCGGCAGCAGATCTGCGGCAGCTTTTCGAGCAGCCATGGCCTTGAGAATGTTGGAATAGTTCCAAGTCAGGTCCTTGGCCGACTTGAGCTCACCTGTGTTCCGATCGATCTGCTCGTTCATGTGCATTCCGTTCGTGAGGTACTTCTTCATGAGAAGCAGCAGGGCATCACCGGCTCCCAGCAGATTCTGCGGCGTCGGCTCACGTCCCAAGAGGTCGGAGAGAAGGGCCTTCACCTCTGCAGTGGGCGGCGTGTGCGCAGCAGCCGCTGCCTGGCGGTAGAGCAGCGTGGATGCCGAGGCCGTCAGCAACACCCAGGGATTCCCGCCGTCATAGCTGTCGCCCTCGTAGCGGCCGAACAGGACACCCGGAAGGCCCTTCGATGCAGCCTGCTGATTGATGGCATAGCTTCGGCAAAAGAGCTTGCTCAGCTCCGACAGGGTGGCAACGACCTCCTTGTTCAGGGGCGCAAACACTCCGTCCTCCATGTCCCCCACGTTGAATGCCTCGATCACGGCAGTGTCCTTGCGCCGGTTCGAGGACTCGAAGACATAACCCGAGGAGTCGATGTGGGACGGCAACTGGTTGCTCAGAGCGGCCGCCGTCTCACTGTACTTGGAAGCCCGACCCTCGTCCCCACCAACGGACTTGGCGAAGGCGGCACCCTGCTTTAACGCCTTGCGCATGGTGTAGCGGTTCCAGAAGAAGTCGGGAGACCGCACCTCCTCCCAAAGATCGCAGGTCTCGCTGTCGTAGTTCTCCACCACCCAGTCAAGGTTCTGCTGCACCAGGGCCCAGACACGGCTGCCCATGCTGGGCTTCAGTCCGGCGTAGGCCATGGCGGTGATGGAGCGGAGACCTGGGCCATCGTTCTGCGGCCGGCACCAACCGCCAGTGTAGGGGGTGCCTTCTGGGATGAGGTACTTCGGCTCCACGAGGATATTGATGTTGTTTGGGTCCGGCTGGTTCTGGGATCTCTCCAACCAAGAGATCCAAGCATCCATCTTCGCCTCCATCTCCTGCAGGGAGCCCTTGGACTGCAGGTATGCATTCATGCTGAGAGCGCCGTCCCTTGCCCACGCAAAGTAGTAATCGCCTCCAGGACCAGTTGCATGGTCGGGAGAAGCCATGACCTCGCCAGTGCCCTCCGCATCCAGGTTCGCCTCGAAGTACTTCAGGACCTCCTGCAGCTCAGCATCAGAGAAGGGAGTCTGCGGATCTGCTCCGATCTTGCAACTCTGCACTTTCCTATCACTGAAGAAGCACCAGGGCAGGTTCTCTGGATTCGGATCCACGGGAGACCAGCAACAGCCAGCTGCCGTGCAGGAGCTCTCGTCCATCTTCTGGCAGTCTACCCGCTCCGTTTTCGAGATCTGCTGGCATCCGTCCGAAGAGGCCCAGATGGCGGGCAAGATGCTGGAAGCGCACAGGGCCCTCAACATGGTCATCAGCTGGCTCAGAGCACAAACGCTTTGGGAGCTACTGCTTGGATGCTTTCTCCTTTGAGCAGAGGGAGGCAGCGATCCGTCAGAATGCTAGGAATGAGTTCGCGTTGGCGGAAGGAGGCTAGCCTGAGCAAAACCTGCAGAAGCTGTTGCTGAGTGCAGGTCGGCATCCTCAGTGGCTTGCGAAGCCTCAACGGAACAGCGAACTCTGGGAAACGGCAGTGACCCCGAGATCCGAGAAAGGCTCAAGCAGCAAACCTACCTTTTGAGCGTTCGGTGCCAAGTGGGGTCGCTTGAACGTTCAGGTAGATCCTACACCTGCCGAAAGGTGGGGTTTGTTTGCTGCCCGCTCCAATCAATCCTTCAGTAAACAGTGCTAGCAAGAGAGGCAACTACAGCCACAATTGCTGCTAACCACAATCCTACGCATGAGTGCCCAGTATCATTAACCCAAACTACACCAGATCACCCTGGCTATGGATACTAATCTCCAAGGGCCTCAAGGCGATCCTGGTCCGCATCGCCGAGCTTCTGTTGGGCGGCTTCGCGATCGGCCTGTGGAGTCGTTACTGAGGCTTTCTCAAGGCCCTGATAAAGCCTTCTTATTAAGGTCTTAGGGTTCTTGTTCGGTATCCTGTAGGCTTCGGGGTTCATCTTGCATTGGGTTTTTTTGGCTGCTGGCTAGGGTCTGGCCCTGTATGTGGAGCAGCCAGCAAGGTTTGGAGGGTATTTCGGGTGTTTGGATGTGCAATGCTGATAATCCCAGGAATATTGTGAGCTCTTGGCCGAAGTCCTTCCGTTTTGGAGATCTACCTCATCTATGGTACCCAACAACCCTGAGTCTCACTACTGAAGCGAAAATACAGGAATGCTGCTGTTGCTGAGTTGCTCAATTCTCCGCCCACCATTGGGCTGACTGTGCAGAAGCGATGGGCTTAGCCTGCAATGCGTCATTCCATACTCCAGGATGCCTGAACCGTGTCGGCCCCAACCCACATTTGTAATGTATCATAACATAGCATAGTATACCAGCATTGCATAGCACAGCACAGCACAGTACAGCACATTACAATACAGTGCAGCATAGTATTACTATAGTATAGTATACTATAAAACAGTATAGTATAGTACGATATCACATAACACATGACATTGCATAGTAAAACACGTTATAGCGATATCACATAACACATTGCAACATGACATATCATAGTGTAACACATTATAGGAAAATGTAACATTGCAATATAAAAAAGTATACTGTAGTGCCGTATTGTATAGTACAATACAACCCTACCGCAAAAAACACCATATCATATAACAGAATCTAACCTAAACTAGTCTGATCGAATCTAAGCTAACCCAGTCTAGTCTAGTCTAACCCGAACTGACCTGATCCTATCGCAGATACTTTAATGTAAGATGATAAAAAGAAAACCGAAATAAACATAACAGAATAAGTATACGACAATATAACACAAGATCACATAATGGAACAGAATAGAATAGAATAGAATAGAATAGAATAGAATAGAATAGAATAGAATGGAACAGAATGCAATAGAAGAGAAGACAATGTAATACCGTGAAATACGATGTTCCGCTGTAGACTACCCTGAAACAATACAACACAATAAAACAAAATGTGATCTATAGTATAATGCAGTACAGTATGGTACGGTATGGTATCGCATAGTATGGCATAGCAATGTACAGTATGGTTCAGCGTGGCATATTATCTGGTATAGTCTCGTAGTCTGGTGCAGTCTGGCATGGTATGACACTTTCTGGTATAGCATAACATCATGGGTAGTTGTCTAAATTAGGGTCCCTTTTAGGATCCTTTTTATCAGGGCGGCGTACCATATCGGGGACTGAAAAGAAAGGGACCCTCATTCAGAGAACCACTCTAATACTGACACAACAAAACCTCTGACTCCGGAGTCGAGGAAGAACGAACCTGGAAGGCCCCGCCTCGACGGCCTCGGCTTCTCTCCTCGCCTCCGCGATCCCTTTGGAGAGATCCTGCAAAAAACGCCAGATTGCCGGATCTCACACGGGTCCCCTTATAAAACAGCGTCCCTTATGGGGTTTCATAGGCTCCCTTTATGGGATTTCATACAGGTTATGCTTACAGGGTTGTGTTCTGCGAGTTCATAGGGACTCCATAGGTTCATGCATGGCACGTTGCCCGTGATCTGGCAAGTTTTCATTTCCCCTTTCAATCCTGCTCTGCACTCTCACTCACTTGCATACCATCTTCCAAGCAGGCACTGCCTCAACCGATCATGACAACAAATAAATTCGCGACCACTATCCACATCCGAACGTGCGTTGACACATGCCCTATGCATGCATCCACGCACAAAACATATATGCATGGAATATCATGTAATGCACATATGCATGCATGCATACGCAAAAGGCATGTAACGCCTGGTATGCATGCAAAAATGTAATGCATAGACTGCATGCATGTGCATGGTGTGTGTGTGTGTATGCATGCATGTTTGTGTATATATGTGCATGATATATATATATATATATATTTATTTATTTATTTATGTATATGTTTATATGTATGTGTTTACATAAACATAGACACACACATATGTCACTCTGCCACCAACGTTTATATATACATATATATATATATGTATTTATTTATTTATATTTATATTTATATTTACATATGCATGTTTACTTGTTGCACCTAGGTGATATATAACGTCTATGTGTATGTGTATATACATACATACATATGCATATATTGTATGTATGTATTTATAAATCTTTATGAATGTGTATATAGGCATACATATAGATGTTTCTTTATATATATGCTATATATATATATATATATAGGTTAGGGGCTTCCTCTAACAGTAACTCTTTACATGGTTGTTGAACACTTAATTGGGTGATAACTGAACAGTAAATTGGGTGATAGCTGAACAGTTAATTGGTGGTAGCTGAACAGTTAATTGGGTGGTAGCTGAACAGTTAATTGGGTGGTAGTTGAACACTTAATTGGGTGGTAGCTGAACAGTTAATTGGGTGCTAGTTGAACACGTATTTGGGGGTAGCTGAACAGTTCATTGGGTGACAAGCTAGTGGTAATTGAACAATTAATTTGGGTGGTAGCTAATGATGGTAATTGAACAATTAATCGGGTGGTAATTGAACACTTAGTTGGGTGGTAGCTGAACAGTTAATTGGGTGGTGGTGGTTAGTGGTAATTGAACAATGAATCTGCGTGGTAGCTAGCGGTAATTGAACAACTAATTGGGCGGTAACTACTGGTGGCTGAACAACTAATTGGCAGGTAGCTGGTAGCTCAATGTTATTTCAAACCTTTCGAATCCAACTGAATTCCCTCGAGCCTGGTTGGGGTCGTAGCTAAGACCCCAACCCGGCCTAGTTCCCCAATTTAACTGTTCAGCTACGATCGTAGCTGAACAGTTAAGGGCCCCAATTTAACTGTTCAGCTACGACCCAACTGGCCCTTGGTGGGGTCGTAGCTGAACAGTTAAGGGCCCCAATTTAACTGTTCAGCTACGATCGTAACTGAACAGTTAAAGGCCCCAATCTAATTGTTCAGCTACGACCCCGGAATAGTGAAAATGCTAGAATTTTCCCACAAAACAGCAATTCTGGGGTCGTAGCTGAACAGTTAAATTGGGGCCCTTAACTGTTCAGCTACGATCGTAGCTGAACAGTTAAATTGGGGCCCTTAACTGTTCA